ATATATATGTATACATACATACACATGCTACCCCCTTCAGGATCTGCCATTTTCGTCTTTGTGAAGCCAAAACAATCTACACATGCATGAGACGACGCGGAAAGATGTCAAAGTCCATAGGCCAAGTAATGAGCATATCTCTCGAGGCAGTCCCAGCAACACAACAACCAAAGGTTTCAGAACCTTCCAGAAACCTGAGATGAGCATGTTTTTCGAGGCAGTCCCAAAAATTACAGCGATGGATTCTGGGGGGGGGGGGGGGAGTGAGGGTACCATATATGCTACCGCACTTCTAGTGTTTGTAGTAGCCAAGTACTGTATTCTGCTCTTCTTTCGCAAAACTGGAACAGGAGTAAAGCCGCAGAGTACTGTCCACAGCAGTCATCCAGTCATCCATGAGTACGACAGCGAAGTCTTTTGTTCTGCCCCTCTTTTCACGACACTGGAACTCGCATGAAGCCTCAAAGTTTTGCATTGACCCACCCACGAACACGACGACAGGAATAGGTTATCAAAGTATTCTTATTTGCATTGCTGTCTAAATACCGACGTATATGCACTAAAAGTGCGGCTCCAAACCAACAGTCCTGAACAAGTCCGAGCGGCGTAGAACGCACGTATGCAAAAGTTACGAGCAAAATCCTTGCTTGAGTATTCGAAGAGTATTTCTGATGCACGTGTTATTGCTCTTGTTAGAGTTAATATGCACTTAGTCTCGTCTTACAGTTAACGACTGCTCATCGAGTGCCCATGTGACGTGTGAATAATCTTTAAACAATAGCACATATTGCTTCTGTTTTGGTGACTATGAAGTTAATATTGGACCCATTTCTTGAATATTTCACAGTTTCTTGCCTCATATTTATTTAAGTCCGTTCAATTTGCAGGCAAGAAAATATTTATGCACGTCTAAATTTCAATGAATACTGAAATAGCTAGTCGGTGCACTACAAATGAGTAAATCGTAGCGACCGCTTATTTCATTCCTGACGAGATCAAAGCAATGTGAACCTGCGACCAAGCTTTCGTTCGCCACGAACCCATAAACTGCCGCATACATGACCTTAATCATGTGTGTTCGAACACCATGTGCATACTAGTGACATGTTCACAAGAGATGAAACAGACGAAATGTGAAATGCACTTTTCGCAAGGATTTGTTTTGTCGCAGAGTAAGCGCGGTCGGATGCTATGGAAGTGACCTGGCTCCGCCAAGCATATACACTTATGAATTATGTGATTTCTGTCCGATGCATCGGCAGTCCCGAAGACAGCAATACACAAAGCACTGGTGCCACGTTCGTGAGGCAGTCCATAAAACTAGAGTTCGGACTGTTTCAACGGTCCTTTCTTGAGGCATTCTCGACACAAACTGACCGGAAAGCCAAAATGAGCATATCAGCATAGACCTCGAGGCAGCACCACAAAAAATCAGACTTTTAAGTTCGCCAAGCCAGGAAGCGAGCATATCTTTCGAGGCCGGCATATTTCTCGAGGCAGTCCCAAAAAACCATCAATACCAAAACCCATCGGCCAAAGAAATGAGCCTATCTCTAAGATTGCCAAAGCCTCCGTGCCAAACCCGAAACCCCAATCCGTCGGTGCTCGATCCCCCAAACCCGGAAACCCAAAAACACCCCGAAACCGAAGATTATAATCCCAAATCCCTCCTAACCCACAATAAAGTATTTTGATGTAGTACGTATCATAGAATATGAATACAAGATATTACAATTCAATTTCAGATATGGTAATGCATCAGCAACAGCTTTCAATGTAGAGGTACAAAAAACCTTCATAACCTGAAATTCCTGAATCCTGGACTCCTTCACCCTTGAGCCTAGGACACGCGCTCGCGGCGCACGGTGACTTCATCAGGTGGTCTTCGCGAAGGCTGGGTTTGGGGGTTTCGGATCATAGGGTTTGAAGGTTTAGGGTCATCGGGTTTAGGGTTTAGGGTTTAGGGTTTAGGGTTTAGGGTTTAGGGTTTAGGGTTCAGGGTTATTTCGGGCTTCGGGCTTGGGATCTAAGCAAACTCATAATATGCGAGTGCGCAAGCGGTAAGTCAAATGCAGACGAGCCCCCATGAGACGGCGCCGCCGAAAACTCGGAAGACCAAAGCCTCATGTAGTCCCCTAATTCATAAACCTCCTCCCCTTCACATTGGGATTACTAGATGTTTAGGTCCCTTAATAGAAAGGGACTCTAATAATCAGCTTCACCATCGGCACTAACGATCCTCATCAGAAGGTAAACGGTTTAGAGGCCTTATTTGTGCGTAAAGTGGAAAGATCCTTCACTCCC